TATGTCCAATATAATTCCTGAAACAGAAAGTATAAATTGAATGATATAGGTTTTATTTTGAGGGAATTCCAGGGACTCTCAAGTTCAGGAAAATGCCTCGTGTGTCGAGGAGTTGAATTGGAATCTGTTTATATCAAGTTGTCCCAATACTGCAATAAAAAATAAGAACATTGTAATTGTGAATTTTTTTAATGCATGAAGAATACAAGAGAAATCCAATGAAGACAATATCAAAATACACGATTTTTCCTCTAATTTTCTACGAAATAGCTGTTCGTGGATTAGAGGATATTTTTTTATTCTCACAATGGGACAATTATCGCCAAGACGTAAATAGCAACAATTGAGTGTGCACCACTCAGAGTACATAAGCTTTTTAACTCGCATGTACATGCTCGTTCTACACATGCGCAACGCCTGCTAGAGTGAGACAGGTATCCTTGAAAATCTACCTCGTTTTCCGCTTACGGGCCTAGCATGGCAGTGCCCTTTCCAGTATATACTACATTTCAGTGGGTGATTATGAGGGGAGATAAAAAAGAAGTATCATTGGCAAAGGGTTCTGCCTGCGAACCCTCATAAACCTTTTACTGCAATTGCTTTATGACGTCCGGCGGGGGGGCCCATTCGTACTTCCACAACCGTATACACTCGTCAACTAAAGTTCGTAACCGAGTTGAAATTGGTTACGGAAAGCAGTGTTGCACGGAGTATAGGCCAGAAATGAATGGGTGGGTTCGTGCCTTTGTAATTTCAGTTCATGCTTCAGCGTGGGGAGGAAACAAGTGAACCCAAGCAGCACAGTTCTGGAGGGTATCTGCAAGTATACCAAAAAGGCTGTCTAATGTCTGTCCAAAAAGGTAACTTGTGTCTAGAAGTTACCTAGAAGTTAACTAAAAGTTATCGTATGACTGCAAGATACCTTTTGGACGAACATTAGTCTGCCTTTTTGCCCAAGTAGCAAACCTTGCGAAAGATATCTGAAAGTATACCAAAAAGGCAGACTAATGTCCGTCCAAAAGGTATTTTGCAGTCATACGATAACTTTTAGTTAACTTCTAGGTAACTTCTAAACACAAGTTACCTTTTTGGACAGACATTAGACCAGAGATTATAGGGGAGATGAGCAGGACCAATGTAAAGTGTTCAACAGCAAAATTAGTAGCGGTGGCGCATGGACTACGATGGAGCGTACGAAACTGTTGGTATGGTAGGGCCCGAATATAAATTTGTCGATAACCGGAAGGGGGTTCTCTATACGGTAGCTCCTAGCATTTTGTAATAATTGTCAGGAATGTAAAATCGAACATATTATAATCAATAGTATAATGAATGCACAATCTAATGATCTAAAAGTCTTTTGC